ATAGTGCCAGATATAAAAGAGATCTATTACAATTTGCACTTTTTATTTAATCTTATTAATATCAATAGAATTTCTTTTCGATTTGTCTCTGATTTTAAAGTTTTGCTGATTATAAATGGACAGCAAACAGCAACTTCCAGTTTTCCTTGCTCCTATTGTTATGTGCCCTTAAAAGATCTCCGAAATGCTGACAATGCACAGTCAGAAAAAAGTTTAACATTAAAGCCTTACGGGGACTTAAAGGAGGATTATCAAAGATTTTGTGCTCTAGGTAAAAATATTAAACAAGCTAAAGAATCTCACAGCACGGTCAACCTACCAATATTTAACGAGAATGACGACACATATGTATTAGAAAAATGTATAATACCAGAGCTCCACATTTTGCAAGGTCTTGTCAACCATGTATTCTGGGATGGTTTAGTGCCTCTATTAGGCCGAAACACGGCGCTTCTGTGGCCGGAAAAGCTCAATTTGGTACAAAAAGGGTATCATGGTGAGGTATTTGAGGGCAATGCCTGCCGGAAGCTTCTCAAGGAGGCGGATAAACTTAAGGATCCAGAAATTTTAATCAACGTCAATGAACTGCAGGTGCTACCGTTCATTCGTGCCCTGCAAATAATGAACCGAATCGTAGACTCTTGTTTCTCTACTAAAGCAGTTGATGCACATTTAGAAAGACATATCCGCGAACTGGAATCGGTTTTCAAAGCTACAGGATTGACGGAAACGCTCAAAATCCATGTGCTAGTGGCACACATCAGCAAATGTGTCCAATTTTTGGAGGGAGAGGGTTTGGGAACCTGGTCCGAGCAGGCGGGGGAATCCATTCACCGAGAATTCTTGAAATTTTGGGAAAAGTATAAAATCAACGCAATTAATGCTCCACAGTACTTGACCAGATTGAAAGCTGCAGTTACTGAATTTTCTTCAAGTCATTTATATATAAAAGTTATAATTCTTATATATTATAAACTAGTGAAAACATTGTTATTCAAAAGCTGGGCACTATGTTGTTATGGAAGTTTCTATTTTCTTCCACAATAAATATCGTCATACATCACACAATTCACTGAGAACAATTCATTCTAAACCTTCCTACCTCAAAAAAAATCTGATTGGTCAGAATATACATTTCACCTCCAGATTGCGGTGGGAGGACTAGACTATAGCAAAGTGGTATTTCGTAAATAACTCTTTTGTATGATGCGTAATCGAAAAAATGGCAACATACCGCCTTAGCCCTGGCAATTATCTAGAAGTCTGCAAAAAAAATTGGCCATCTAGCAATATTTTTGGCCACACAATCTGGGATGCCGTGAATTCCGAACTTCTTACCTAATGCACACCCTGCACATCCTTTTTATCAACTTCTTTAAAACTTCAACTATATTTAAGAGGTGGTCCATTTACAGATGACATATCAAGAATGCACTGTAATTTAGATAGAGACATCCACAGAAAATCTACTCGTTCAGGGTACAATAAACCCATTTTAGTTTCGAAAAGCAGTTACTAAATCATTTTAAGTACCTTGAGATATTTCGGATATTCACATAAAATTTAAAATAACGTCCAGACGCCGAAGAAAGTTTAAGATTGAAAATTATTTTTAGTGGGTATAGATTTAAAAAAGTAACTTCCATTTTGCGGTTAAAAATAATACGGAGTATGGCTCGTGTTCCACTATCGAAGTCGGTGACAAGTTAATTTATTTCAATTGCAGGCATTTCGATTTCGATTACAATCTTCATCAAAGCTTAAAAGATAAAAATGGCGAACGTAATCACTATGTATTTTATTGCAATGTTCACAAATAAGAAAAATACCAATTACAATCGTATATTTCTTCTGTTTGCTGTAATAAATTGTTTAGTTATTTTTAAACTCCAAGGTAACGTTATCAAACTATGCAGATCAAGAAAACAGTATACGAGCCATATGATCTAGGTCAGTGGTCGCCAACCTCTCAATGTGTTGAGCTATTTTGTTAATTTTGGAATAAACAGCGAGCTACCCACACGGAAGCCACGTAACGCAACGTAAATGAAATAATCCACAGTTAATTTATCATTATATGTATTTATTTTACTATTTAACTGGTAATACATAATACATAGGTACTAATAATAAACTAATAACAAAATAACTAATATTACTAGTACGTACTTGTTCATAGCTACATTCCTACCTACCAAACGAAGGTGTTTGAAAAATAAAAACAAACTTTTATCCAGCCACAATGGCATGTCACGTAAGATTTAAAAATTGTTAATAATAACAACAAAAAAGTAACGCACTATCATGAACATAAACATTGAAAAATAAAAAAGCACGTTCAATGAGAAGGCTGAAACTCAGACTCATCGATAATTTTTTTAATGTTTGCAGTAAAATTTGATACAGCCATTCGAATACAATTATCCAAATGTTCATCTGTAAGTCGATTGCGATATTTGTTCTTAATAAACTTCATATTGGAAAAAGAAGATTCACACAAATAGGTTGAACTGAATAATGCTTTCACTTTCAAGGCAACACGGCATAGAACTGAATATTTGTCTTTATTTACAATAGGCCAGATACATTTGGTACTTGAGACTAACGATTTTAAGGCTAAATCATTTTGAAACTCAATTACTTCCATTTCTGTTGCAGTGATGTCTTCGCCAAAGTTCTGCATAACACAAGTTGCAAACTGTTGGATATCAATTTCTATAAAGAATGAAACAACAAACTGCGCTACTAAAGCCATTTCGTTGAAATCCTTAAAACGATTTTTGAAGTTAATCTTCAGGGTAGAAATTATTTCTACATGATATTTGCTGTCATATAGGGTTCTAATGGATTTTGAGATATTTTTTCTGAAAGAATAGGAAAATTCTTGGCATCGCTATTAATTAGGTTTTGTTCCCGAAACTCCAGCTTTTTGATAAATGCTTTTATATCAGAAATAATTTCGGCTAGTTCTTTGTCTCTCCCCTGAAGCTACAAATTAAGTTCGTTTAATTTCTCTGTAATGTCCACGAGAAAACCAAAATCTCTAAGCCAGATTGAATTTTGCTAGTTCCGGAGTCGGTTCATCTCGTTGTTTGAAAAATTGAACTATGCCAGATAGGACATCATTAAAACGTTTCAGCACCCGTCCTCTACTTAACCATCGGACTGCAGAGTGAAGGAGCAGGTCCCCGTATTGACAGTCAACTTCATCGGCCAAAGTTTTGAATAATCTTCTTTGTAACGCTTGAGCTCTAATCTTGTTCACAATTTTTACCACCAGTTTCATAACATTGTTTAGTTTCAGGAAATTTCCACATAATGCTTGCTGATGAATAATGAAGTGGTAACAGAGAAATTGCGGAACAGTTTTATCTTTACGAAATAACGCCACCAGACCCTTATCACAACCCACCATAGCTGGAGCGCCATCGGTTGTCAAGCCTACCATTTTCGATATTGGAATTTTTTCGGAAGTTCGCTATCCTAGATTGTGCAACCAAAAATAAAGCTAGTCGACCAAATTTTTTGAACATTGCTAGATAATTATCAGGGCTAAGGCGGTACGTTGCTATTTTTTCGATTACGCATCATACAAAAGAGTTATTTACAAGAAATCACTTTGCTATAGTGTGGTCGGTCCCACTGCCAGAATTCAATTCATCTCCTTAAAAAAATAACGCAACTTCGAAAAAGGAGCAGGGCCGATTTTCGGGTTTACAGGAGCTTATTCCTGGGCCTTTCGGGAACAGTTTCCATTAACCAGTTCCTTTCTACATTTTTTTCAAACTCAACATAGCCAGCGGCCCACCGTGTGTAGTCCATTAATAAATGCCTGTATGCCGATTTGTTCCAGGAAATCATTGGGCGCCTGTGGATAGGCTAGATGCAACAATGTGTAGACTGTCATTGTGTTTCTGACAACGAACCTTTAGCTGGCTCTGGAATACCTCTTTCAAATGTTGCTAGCCATATCTCGTTTCCAAAGCTAGGACGAGTGACGAATAACTGGTTTATCTAGTTGTTGCTTTAAATTAGCTTTTAAATTTTCTCGTTGCTCTAAATTAGTTTCTAAATTTTCATGTTATTGTTCTAAGAGATCTGCTAGACTGTTGCTTAAGGTTTTCTGGAATTTGTAGCAAACGGGAGGAACACCGACTGGAAGTTACATAAATGAAAACCATTAACATAGACAGTACGTTAACCGACGCATCAGGCAAAATAAAGATGAGACGCTTAATTATATTTGGAGGTGAGTGAATTAAAGAGAGTAATTGGTTTAACCACGCTCTTTCGAAGGCAAGCTTGAGATATTGCGGTCCGCACTCAGTGATGTATTTTATTTCTCTCTATTCAAAAGTATTGTGTTTGTATACCATTCTCATCCTGGAATCAGGTTTGAAAAGTTAACATATTATATACATTTAAAATGCCACACGCAAATTTATTTATTATAATTTATAAAATCTTAAACCATTTTTAATAAAATCCTTATAATTAATTTTAAAGGACTAGATTTTCCGCAAGATGTTCAAAAACAGTCCAATCTGTAGCGAAGGGACTACGCACTTCTACGTGTCTAGCTGATGCTGCCGCCCCGAAATAAGATAAAAGTGACTAATTTTTCTTTCTTCACATCGGCCCAGGTCTAGCGCAACGTTGTCAAGAATATTCTACTTAGATTCCTTTACTTTTATATAGGGTCGAGTAAAAACAAATCAAACAAATAATCTAGATATGTTCAGCTTCGTTTTTTGTTGGTTCAATTAATTATGAAGCGTTTACAATATTTAGGGGAACCCCTGTGAAGTTTGGGAATCATTGTAAATAATCATAAATAGAAATCATGAGAAAATTGAGAACAAATAAGGATTTCGTGATTAACAATAAAATCTAGTTATTAATTAATTCATTTTTATTCCAGAATAATAAATACAAAAATATATTCAATAAAAAAGGCACAAACTGAAGATCCATCCTAAAACGGATCTAATTAAAAATGATTAAACCATCTCATTATGACTCTGGAGTTTATATGTGTAGTAATGCATTTCTTCATGAGCATTCTCCACATCAAAATCATCATATATAGTAGGCGGGACGATCGAATATTTAGACATCACGAAAACTGTTTCAGCCTCGAAATGATCTACCACAGACTTCAATCTCACCGAACAAAAATCCGGTAATCTCCCTGCCACGATATCGTTACTGTTTGCACGGATGACCATATCGAAGTCGCAAAGCGGCGTTTTCTGGATATCTTTGAATTCGAGATTGAAAGACTCTTTAGCCACGTACTTTTCAAATACTTTGGTGCAAAAGATATTGAAAGTGGCTTCCGGTAGATAAGTCTGACGTTGAATCAAGTAAATTAACTCTATGGCCACGTGGAGTTTCCCGAGGTAGCTCAACTTGGCTTTGCAGGCTTTGATATCGGTTTGATCGCTTTTAAAACACTGTGTGATTCTAGTTTTTTTGGTAGCCCCTTCAACAGCTATCTTCTTTTGCAGTTGGTTCCATTTATTGGAAATGTCAGAGTAGGAATGTGCATAGAAGTGCTTGCTGATTATCTGGTAGTCGTTTTTTAGTTTTTCGGAACCCAGTTCGAACAGAAACTCCAAGGCTTGCCTGTAGCTGATCGTGGGGACCGCTAGTTTACCGTCAATTATTCCGTTTATGATGGTGGCCACATTGCTATCGTTTCCTACAAAATAAGAGTAATAACAATTAAATTTGTTGCGTTAGATACTGAAATTCGGCATTAATAGGTAATAGAAAAATGTCATAAATATGTAACATGATTGCCTTATTTTGAAAGAAAATTATTTTCATTAGAAATAGAAATAGAAATAATTTATTCGTCTATAAAGAATTACATATTCATGAAACATGACATACATAAAGCGTGTCAGACTTGTCAACAAAACAGATAGTACACTATACACAGAGATAAAATAAATCCATGACACTATACAATATTTAAAATAACTAGTTTACAATATTTAAGATCAAGAGATCAGCACGTCACATACAAAAAAAAATTATATTATTTAAAAATTATTTCAAAAGATTAAAATTAAAGAAGCTAAAATTCTCCATGAGAAACTTGTATAGAGTATTTTTAAAACTATTAAAATTCTGTATATGTCCAAAAAGTCTAAGAGTCTTATTGTAGCATAAGATTCCCTGGTAACTTAAGGAACCCTGCCCCACAGATAATCGGGAGAATGGCAGTCGCAACTCATCAGCCCGTCGGGTGTTGTGTGTATGGATCATATTGTTTTTTAGATGCGTTTCTTCATTTCTTTTAATGTTAGTTGATATGGTGTATATGTATAGACAAGGTAAAGTTAAGATTGACAGAGAAACGAAAAAAGTTTTACATGAATCCCTTGGGGCCAATCCTACGATACATCGGATTATCTTTTTCTGCATAATGAACACCTTGTTCATGTGTACTGAGCTTCCCCAACAGGCAAGGCCGTACGATAGGAGAGACTGAACAAGACCAAAGTAAGTCAGTCTAAGTACGCTAAGTGAAACTGTTCCTCGAAGCCGTCGTATTACGTAGCATAAACCACTAATTTTGTTAACTAGATTTTGTGTGTGCATTTCCCAAGTAAATTTCTGGTCGACAGTCACACCCAGATACTTAAAATGATCCACCTGTTCTATGGATGCATGATTTACTTTTATTAGTGGAGAAAAATCATAAGTCACGTTTTTTGGCTGAGATACCATAAAAACTGTCTTTTTTGTATTAATTATACAAATTAAATGTTTAAAATACCTCACTGTTGATTAACACTATATCATACTTAAGATAATTTGTCTCTCAGAGGTAAATTACAACACTTAAATTTGAGGTACCGCATTTAAACATTTTTTGATAAAATATACCATAGACGTTATTCTTTTTTTAACAAGCAATAATACTTATACAACATAACGTATGAAAATGCATCGTCGTATTCATGGAGGTGGTGCGTTGTCTCTAATACAGATCAGTGGTGATGGCTTATCCAGTAACAGGAATCGTGATATTTTTTTATTTATTGTTTTTCTTTTGAAAATCCACAAAAAAACAAAATTAATGTATGTAATAAAAATGGCAACCAGTTGCATCTAAATACTTACTGAAAAAAAAAACATAAAAGGAAAAAAGTAGATGTTTAGGAACGACTGTACCGTTAAAGACAAATAAATAACTAATCACGAAAAAAGCAAAATTAAAAACAAAAAACACAATTGGTAAAATACTATCGTTAATTATGGACACATTACTTAACTAGAAAAAGTTTTTAAGTTGTCTAACACTAGTAAAAAAATATCAAGCTGTGATTCAAATGACAAATAATTATTGATGAGTTCGTTAAAAGGAGAGAATTTAGAAACATTTGTTCTGCATGGTAAGCTGTGAAATAAGCTATGAGTTCTAGCAGTGATCCTGGGAGTTCAGAATTTAAGTCAGTGGCGGCCGTAAATTTCGGTAATCCGTTTTGATAAGTGTAATACATAGGTAATTGTTATTTCACTATTATGAATTCTGCGGGGAATTCCGTACAAAATATTTTAAACGGTGCGTTATCGTTTAATGACAAAATCGCGGCAAAGACTCTCGGGCGGCCGATGCCTAATTTGCAGATTGAGCAAATAAATATTACACAAAAACGTACGCTTAAACGTAGTTTTAATAGAACAATTTACGAGAAGTATTCGTGGCTGTGTGGTTGCGAAGTAACCAACAAATTTTATTGTTTTCCGTGTAATTTGGCATCCAGTGGCAAACAATCTAGTGTGGGTGGCTTTAGTTGGATTAAGCACGGGGTAAGTAATTTGAAACATTTGGACAGCAAAGCGAAATCCCACGTGGTTTCCAAAAACATTTAGAACATGAACTGGAGATAAGTATGTTGGGTCGAGTGGACATTCGTAGTCAGTTGAGTAGTGCTTACCGCGATTCTATAAAAAAACATAATAAGGTCGTTGACAGCAACCGTTACATATTGTTTAAATTAATTGACTGCATAAAATTTTGTGGCGCTTTTGAGCTTGTCTTGCGAGGGCATGACGAAATGTCAACTTCAGAAAATCCTGGCATTTTCAGAGGTTTAGTTAATTTAATGGCTGAAATAGACAGTGTGTTAGAGGCACACTTAAATGACACAAAAAACAAATTGTTTCAAGGTACATCAAAAATCATTCAAAATAAATTGCTCGATTCAATTTTACACGTTTGTCAAGACATAATAAAAAAAAGATATTCAGGCTGCTAAGTATATCGCCATACAGGCTGATGAAACAACTGATGCATCAACTCAAATGCAGATGGTTTTGATAATCAGATATGTAAGAGACGGTCGGATTTACGAAAGATTTTTGAGTTTTTTGAGACCAATGGATCACACTGCAGACGGGCTTTCGGCGGCAATTCTGGAGGTATTAAGTGAACTATGAATTGACAAAGCACCTGAAAAACTAATAGCACAAAGTTACGATGGTGCTTCCGTACTGAGTGGTATTGTTGGAGGGGTACAAGCTAAAATTAAAAACATCTATGCAAATGCCCAATATATTTACTGCTACGCGCACCAATTAAATCTAATAATTGAAAAGTGTTGCTCAATAGATAAGGCTTGCCAATCTCTCTGAATTTTCTGCTTACTTCTCCCGCTCTACAAAAAGAACAAGCGTTTTGGATAGGGTTGTAAAAAAACGGCTACATTGTTCGGCTTCTACAAGGTGGAGTCAATACTATTTATGTTTATAAAGAGGATTTGATTAAATGTCTCTAAGAAATTATGAACACAGAATTCGATAAAAAAACTGTTAATCAGACTAAAAGGTTGATAAATTTTTTGAAAGACATCGATTTTAATTTCTGGTTATTTTTCTTCAGCAAAATAATGCCAAATTGCGATATACTTTTTGATCAACTGCAAAGTAGACAGCTGGATGCTTTCAAGGTTAAGAGAAACAATATCAAATTTTGCAATAGCTATTTAAAATATTAGAAATAATATAGACACGCTAATTCATGTAGAATGACAATCACAACAAGATCCACAAGAACTAAACTTAAACGACAACACCCAATCAGGTCCAAGTACAAGCAAGAAGAGACAGTTTGTTGAAAAGGAGGACCCCATTCCTAATTTAAGGATATGTAAAGAAATTTGTGATACAATAGTAGTGCAGGTAAATGAACGTTTTAGTTTTACTACCCACCTAACAATTGCAAGTTTATTTGATAGTGAAAAATTTAAAGACTACCGAGGTTGTTTTCCAAAAGAGGACGTTAAAACTGTGTGTAGTTTATTTACAAACGTAAATAGCTTAAAATTAAAAAAAAAAATTTTTGAGAACAATTTGACAATTACATTTTCGGAATCTGTGGAGCTGCTAACTATCATGTGTAGAATTCCCATGACTACAGCGGAGAGTGAAAGATGTCTTTCGACACTAAAACGTATTAAAACATTTTTAAGGAACACTATGTGCCAAGATAGAGTGTGCGCGTTAGCCATGTTATCCATCGAAAAAAAACTTATTCGGTCCATTCCAAATTTTAATAATCTGGTCATCGATCACTTTGCTAGCCAAAAATCCAGAAGAATGGACTTCAACTATAAGAAATAGTATACATCTGCAGCGGTACCTAGCAGTAAGTCTTCAATTTTGTAATATTTAATTTGTTTTAAAATATATTTAATTTTCATTGTAAAAGTTTACTAAAGGTCACGCCATTCGCTTGTAGAAAGCGCTTTTTATACATTCAAACGGGGCCACGTTTCAAGCGGCTCGGAATTAATAGTTAGAATAGTATTGTTTCAATCGCGTGTTCGGCGAGTTCGGCGTATTGCTTTTGACATTTTATGCATGCTGAATTTTTGTTTGTTAGGTAGTTAGTTAGAATATTTGAGTTGAGAAAAAAATCCAAATAAAGGAACTTGGGAGACCTCTTCCCGATTTGGAAATAACAAAAACCTCAAGTTCGTCAAACTTCAAAGGCCGGATAAGAAAGTTTAACCGGAATTCGTACTTAAAAGATAACTGGATTTGTGGATGTGATGAAAAAACGCATATTTTTTGTTTTGTTTGTGTTTTGTTCGGGAGCGATTCTTCGTGGACGATGCATGGTGTAACTAATTTGGTACACATTTATGAGAAAATTTAAACACATGAAAAAAGTAAGGCCCATGTAAATAATATTTTTAGTTATTCTTTGCTTGGAAAATCAAATACACTGACTCAATTAAATTCGGCTTATAGACAAAATATTATTACCCACAATAAACAAGTTGATAAAAACAGATATATTTTAAACATCATTATTAACTGTATTAGATTTTGTGGTGCATTAGAATTAGCATTGCGCGGACATGATGAAAACGAAGAATCCAAAAATAAAGGAGTGTTCCGAGAATTGATAGAATTTAGTCCTGAATTAGATGCAGATTTAAAGGAACATTTCAACAAAGCAACAGTATTTAAAGGGACCTCTAAGGCCATACGGAACGAACTATTGGACTGCATGCTTGGCGTTTACCATGAAGAAGTGGCTAAAGAAATAAAAAAAAAACGAATTATGTAGCTGTAATTGCTGACGAAACTACCGATGTTGCTAACGAATTTCAATTGGTCATTATTCTACAATACATTGCCTCCAGTAAGCCAGTGGAAAGATTTTGGAAATTTGTAAAT